CATTCTCATCTTCTATCCCTAGGCCTTCCCAGACTTCTGTACAAGTCTAAAGTGCAAAAAGAGAACTAAATGAAGTCGCTTTAAAAGCCCTCTAGCCCCCACCCTGTCCCTCAGCCCCTCTGCCCACCCTGCCCATGGGTTCGGGGGGCAGTGGGGTGTGAAGTAGAGACAATGCGTTTGCCCTGAACGCTTTGATGCAACTTCGGCCCCTGAACTCAGCTCTACCGTTTCCTAGAGCTCAAGTTCTCAAGGCCCAGGAATGTTGGCTCCTCAGCGCTGGTGAGAAGAGCCCCCGAGCCAAGTGAATGCCGTGTTAATAAAAGCAGCTACCATATATTATTACTTGAACAAATGAAAATAATCCCACAGGGTCACATTTCCCGGGCCTGCTGGGCTCGAGCTCCTGCGTGACATCGTCTTGAATTCCATGTAGGTCTGGTCAGACTTCTGCGGAACCAAACTCCACTCAAGAGACATGCGTTCGGGTCTCACTGTGGAGAAGCATCTGGCAGAGGGGCACATTTCTCGGTGTTTCGGGGTGGGTCACTACTGGCGAAAACGCCCCAGGAGTCGGAGACAGACAAGACATCTGTCCTCCTGTCTCCAGGCAGAGCCAAGTCGCCTAGACAGAGGAAGGTCTGCTCTTGCCTCGAAAGATCTTCACCCTCGGGCTGCTCTGGCCCCTTGCCCTGTTACTCCTGGCCGTGTGCATGGAGTCGGGGAGGCAGGAAGGAGGTGGGCGTGTGAGAAACAAACAATGAAACCACCTCTTTGTCCTAGGACGATTGCCTTTTGTAGACCCCGACTGCTGCTTTCTCGGCCCTTCGCTGAAATGCACAAGTATTTTCCAGCTGCTTTTTCTCACTGCTTTTCCTAGTACACAGTTACACTGTCAGTTTAGATATGTTGGAAGTTGCTTTCATCAGCTATTATCATTCTTCCCACTCTTTTTAAAAATTTTTTTTCAGAGATTTTTGCTATAGGCCATGTACACTCACTGGAGAGACAGAGAAAGAGAGAGACAGAAAGTAAGAAATCACTCTCCAGGGGGGATGGCCACACTGCAATCCCTTGTCCTCCAGTCTCCTCTCAGAATGTTGGGCATGCACATTTACCCGGTGTGAGTTTTAAGCCACTGGGTCTGGAACTCGAGCTGCAGTGGTCTACGTGGGAGTCTAGCAATGTAACCGTTATGCCATCTGCTGGTCCCCATTCTTCCCACTCTTGCATTGCTGTTCCTAGCAGGTAGGATGTCTGCAGGCCTCGGGCCCCTCACGGCTGGAGCCTGTGCCTACACTCCCGCCCTCCCCCGGCACTTCTGTATGGTGGTAGCCTTTGTCCCTCCCTCAGGCTTGTTCTCTCCCTGATAGAGTGGTATTAACTAAGCAAGGGAGAGACTTGGCCCTCCCGTGCCCAACAAAATGCCCCAGATAATAGTCACAAGCCTCTGGGGATGAAATAAACTCTGTGCTTTGCGTGTTGGCAGACTGCTAGCAGCCTTGATCTCGGCCAGAAGTCTGAGATGCAGTCGTCCTACCACTGATTAAAAGGGTGTGAGTGGGACCAGCGCCGTGACTGGTGGTTAAGGCGCTAGATCTCACGGCCGACTCTGTGGCTGGAGTCTTGGGAGCACGCCCGGCACGTGTGCGTGCGTGCCCAGAATCCCAGGAGGGGGGTGTAGAAAGGCCATCCCCCTGGGGGGGGGGGAGGTGATGACTTACTTCCCCTCTCTCTGTCTCTCTGGCAAGTGCAAGCATACTATAGCAAAAGGCAAAACAAACAAACAAACATAAAGGGTGTACATGCGGTGTAGCTATAAAACTAAAACCAGGCGAGCCCTGGAGCCTAAGGTCAGGGAGCCGGATCCCACATGGCCAGCTGCAATTTGAATTCCGATTCTAGGGCTTGAAAACCACACAGGTACGTGTGTATCTAAGCCCTGACAGTGGAAAAGCGAAGGAGAAAGGACTACGGTGTGGCCATGCCCTCTTGGGCTCCTTCTCCTCCTCTCTCTGTCTCTCTCCAGCCAGTACCTGCACCTCTAGCATTTTAGAAGACAAAATCTGGACAAAAAAAAAAAAAAAAGAAAGAAAAAGAAAACTAAAGCCACTCAGAAGCATATTAAGTTTCTAGTCACTTTTTGTTCGTATATATTTTCCTCAGCCAAATGATCTCCCATAGGAATTTTTGATGTTTCGTTTTCTTAACCTTAAAGGGAATTTGAAGAGGCAGAATTCATCAATTTCTCTCTCTCTCTCTACATCTAGAAAGCAAGAGTCTGGGGCCAGAGAAATTGAGTGACTTTACCCAAAGTAAGGCAGGTGGCTAGGGGGCAGGTGGGGCCAGGAATTGGAACCCGGCTCCGATCTCCAGCCGTGGGTGTCTCATGTACACTCTGTGGAGCCCTGAAGCAGGTCTGCGCACAGCTGTGCAGGAGTGTGGGCCCTGGGCGACCCAGGGGCCCAGTCTGCAAGATGAGGACAGAGATCAGATGGGCTCTGGGGGGCGCTGAGGTCCTGCTTGTTAAGCCTTTGCAGGGTCCTACAAACGGCGGCGTGCATAGCTGATACACTGCCCAAGGGGGCGTGAGACCCACCGCCCTGCACTTGTCCGCCTCACTGACCCTGGCCTCCCCTCCTGCCAGGAGGAATTCCCATTTAGTGGCAGTAGCAGCTGAGTCTTGGAGAGACTGGGCAGCACAGGGGGCTTAAAGGGAAATGGCCTGAATGAAATCACCACCCAGAGGAGTCTTCCCGGCTCCAGGGATCAGCAGGCAATTGGTTTTTAGACTGTGATAACGGGCCCTGAGGGGCGGAGGTGGGGCGAGGTTGTTTAGGAGCCTCTGGTCCCCAGACACACAAAGCATCCGTGCCCCAGGCTGGGGGCACAGCTGTCCAGCCCTTCTCTGCACACCCTGCTGGCCCTGGGGTGCAGGGAGGAGACTCCCACTGAAGAACATGCTCTCCCTGGCCAGATGCTCCTGGGGGGTGGGGGAGGGAATTCTGGGATAGGGCGGGTTCTCTCTCAGAGCAGGCCCTTCCTCCTAGCTCTGCGCATTTAGTGAGCCCTGGGGCTCATCAACCCTCTTGACTCTGCGTCTTTGTCTAGTGCTGCAGTGAGGGGTGGCGTCACCTGGGGCAGGTGGTAGGGTGGTCACACCCAAAAGCGTGACTCCTGTCCCTTTGCTATCGCATCGCTCTTCTCCTTTGCTGAGCTGACTGCTGAATTTCCTATTCCCAGCCTTTCCCGGATTCTTCTACCAGGACCAGGAGATTCAAAGGGCGCAGTGGATAACTTCTCCCGGTATTCGTACCTCTCCCCCTCCAAGAGTTGACCCCCCTTCTGGGCCAGGAAAAGGAACTATGTTGGCTAATAAAGGTGGCAAGGGCAGAGTGGAAGTAACCTGTGCTTCTCTCCAGGTTTCCTGCTGCGAGTCTGCATGGAGTCCCATCGCCAACCGCCCAAATCCCAGCTCTCCAACTAGTGGGCTTCCTACAGAGTGGCGAAGCGGTTTTCATGGGATGACTCACTCCATAGAGGGCTCTCGCTGAACCTAGGTTGGTCCCAGGCAGCTTCCCGGTCTCTCCATTGCTTTCCAAAGAGTGGTAAGGAGGGCGTCTGAGAATGCAAATCTCACGAGTTTCGTCTCGCCCAGCCCTCCAGCCTCCAGCCAGTGTAACCCTGAGCCCAGTGATCCCTGCCCTGCAAAGGCCATGTGGTCTGGTGGCCCCCAAGCCTGCCTGTGCACAGACACACTCCAAAAGTTAAACAAGAAACAGCACCGTATAGGCGTCCAGGCCCGACCAGGAATCTCTGAGGGAGGTCCCTGGAAGTCTGTACTTTCAAGTCACCACGGTGATTTGGCTGCAAACTGTCCACAGAGTTGTGCTGGGGACCCTCATGGATTAAAATCCATGCCACGTGTCCACGTAAACCACCCACACTGAGACGTTCTGCACTAGACTTGGGATGCAGGCCGTCCAGGCAGCCCACTCTAATGTGAAGTAGAACTCCCCTGGGGTAGCCCTCTGGACCCAGCACCGAACCCAGACATGGTTGCTCATTTCTTGAACCTCAGTCTGCACTCCAAGGGGCAGTAGAACAGCCTTCCACACCCTCCCTATAAATAACTCTGGTATTCCTTGAGGACTGCTCTGAGGTCTTCCTTTTAGCCTTATTATTTCTGACGAAAGACCTCTCAGTGTCTCAACTACATAGGGGTGTGTTCGGAGCTGTCCTTGGAATAAGGCAGGTCACGGACTGAGAGTTCCAGGAGTTAGTGGGTCAGAGAGGACGGAGGGCTCAAGTGTGCTTCATGTTGGCTCCTTGAGTCACGATGCAGTTGCACTGCCGGGGGATCTACCGGTGGGGAGAGGGGGATCTGGCGCCTGCCTAGAGTGTATATAGAGAGGGTGCTTTTCCAGCCTGCAGAATCAGAGCTGCGAGGACTCAAACCCTTAAAAGAGAAGTGTAGTATGTTGCAGAAGATGATAGACTATCCTCCCTTCCCGCTCCTCGCACTGCGCCCTGGGTCGGGGTGTCTCAGCAGGGGTGTCACCGGTGGTGCACCCAGGCTGAAGGGCAGGCTGGGCTCCCTGAGCCTGTCCACTGCCATTGCTTTAATGTGTACTCCGTATGCTTCCACAACCTCCCCCACCTAACCTTGCAGTCACCGCGGCTGGTGGCTTGCCTGGATCCGGCAGCCCCCATGCTGTCCAGGGCAGGACTTTAAACTGGCACGAGCCCGTGACAGCTCCTGCAAGAGCACAGGCTTCCCTGAGACCCGGGAGCACTCAGGAAAGGCACGGCGATGCTGAGGCCAAGTCCCTGGGAGCCCACGAAGCCAGGGCAGCAAGCCCCTCACCTGCACGAGCTCCTTCCACAGCCCCTTCTTTTCTTGTTCTAGATACTTTTCTACTTAGAAATGTGTCCTTTTCTTCCACTGTGTAAGTGCCAGGCCTCACACAGCCCTGGCGCTTCCCCTGGCCTGGGGAACTCACCGTTGTGTATAGTCTTCCTTTATTGCTCATGGCAACGAACAGGGCGCTTTTCACTCCAAAGAGACTCACCACACCTCGCTCCACTGTAGAGATCTCCAGCAGGCCTGAGGAGGAAACGCACCAGGTTACCCAAGGCTTGTGCAAGACTCGAGCCGACAAATCTGAGTGTGGCCCCTGCTCCTGGGAAGTCGGACCCCACCGCCTCTCCTACATCCCTCTAATGCTAGGAGCTCCTGGCTGCCGGCCTGGTTGAACCCGGCCTCTACACAGCTAAAAATCCAGTTCTGCAAGGGAAGTGCTGACCCCAGAGTCAGAGACAGCAATGACCACTTATGTGTCTGTTTAAGGTTAGCTCTGCAGCTGGACTTTCACTGACATAGACACGTGTACCTGTAGGGCTTGGGTGAAAAGAAAAATGAATTCTGGAGCCAGCAGGTGGTGTGGAGGTTAAGGCAGCTGGATCTCACATGGCCGCTGAGGGGTTTGAATCCTGGACCTGCAGGTTTGAAAACCACACTGAGCATATGTGCATGTGTGCTCCAAATCTGGAGAGGACAATAGGGAAGGGACTGTGGCGGCGTCACCCCCCCTCCAGGGTGAATTTTCTCTCCCTCCCTTTTTTCTCTTCACCTCTCCAGTGACTGCATGCACCCCATAGCAAACTTTTTTTAAAAAAGGAATTCCAATTATTATTATTCTAATGTGTACTCCATATGAATCTTGCACATCTAGCCACCCCCTGCATCCGGCGGCCCCACACTCTCTTGGTTAGGGGACCCTGTGCAGTGACCTATCAATTTGTCAGATAAGGACCCGGGGGCAGAGGGAGCAGGTTAAAGTAAAAGAAGGATATGCATCCGCTGCAGGTTTTGCAAACGGCTTGTCTTCCTTGTCCAAGAGGGAGGCTCACAAATAAGCGGGTTCCAATTTAGTTCAGGTACCCTAACTTGCTCTCCGCGCCCTGCCTGTGGCTCCTCCAGCTCACGGCTCTCCGTGGTCACAGATGGGCCACTAATGCTGAGGTAACTAGTGCCACAGAGGCTCCATGGGAAGACCGCACAGGACATCAAGTGGCTCCCAACTCAGTGTGGAGTCTGCACCCAGACAGCGTCTAATCGAGCCATCCTCCCCACCTCGCAGGAGAACCCATCCACCAGAGCAGGCCCCGGGCATCTTTTAGCTCTTCTGGAGCCCCAGCCCCCACGCAGCCCAGCTGGCTGCCATTGCACTCACTGTAGGGGCTCTCCTCGTGGGTCCCGCTGATCTGGCCGCTGGGGGGCACCTGGAGGTGAAAGCCGATGCCCACGTTGCAGTAGAGCCTCCGCTGCCGCTTGATCCCCACCAAATAGCCACTCTCCCAGTTGACCCCGGCAATCTGTCCGGCGAGCCCGGTGCGAGACCGGGACAGCAGGGTGCCCCAGCCCCTGGAGTGCAGCAGCGTGCTGTTGGCGCGGGTGCCTGCAGGCAAGGGCACCACCATGCCCACTAGGACGCCCAGGAAGATGAGAGCCCGCAGCGTGCCCTGAAGTCGTCCTGCTCCCCGGGACATAGTGATGAACAGCCTCTGTCCCAGGGCCATCCACCTTGCCTGTCAGGCACGTGGTCAGAATTAATGGCCCTAAAAATACCGCCCTTCTTGTTTTTCTCCCCTCGGCATGGCGGCAGGGGCTTATTTTTGGAAGGCAGATGAAGGCTGCTGACATGAAACCAAAGCCTGCATCGGCCACTCGGGTTGGGAGCAGAGGGACCCGAGCTGAGCCGGGGCCGGTCGGGACCATGGCTTGGGGACGGTCTCTAGCTCGCCGCTCTCTCTGCCCCTCGCTGGTTATATCTGCTTTGACCTATCCTTACTGTTCAGCAGCCCTCCCTCCTGCCCATCAGCACCCTGACGTCAGCCGGCCCGCTCACTTACCCAGGGCTGTAACACTAACCTGCCCCAGGCCTGGCTGCCTCCCCAGACCCCCAGCACCCTCCCTACTCCCCAGGGATTCTGGGAGCCTCTGTCATTCCAGCTATGAGGCAGGAATGAAGTTAGCAGTGAGCATCTCTGGGGGAGGGGGAAGCTGGCTGGGGGCCCAGGGGAAGAGGAGGCAAGAGGCCACCCAGGACCCATATTGGGCAGAAGTTCTCAGCCTGGCAGTGTGACTTCCTTATTTAGAGGGCAAAGGGTAAAGACCGGGACGGAGAAGGCTTGGTGGGGGTGATGACAGTAGCCTCAAGTTGCCCTTGAAACCTTTTCGTGGAGAGTTCACGGTACAGGGGGGACACTGAAAGGCCAAACCTTTTAAGCACGACAGCACAGAGATTCTGGTGGGGATCTATCTGCCTGTCCAAGGACCTTTAGGATTGCGGAGTGAGGGAGGGAGGGAGGGTTAGGGTCCAGCTGCCCCGGTCATGGTCATGGCATTCCCTCCAACGGGGACTTGTGTCCAGTCCTTCAGAGAGCTCACTGACCATCCCCGACCTGGGTTCGTCCTGGGCGTCTGCCTGACCTTATTGCCACTTTACAGACGAGGAAGCTGAGGCTCAGAGAGGTCGAGCGTCTTGTCTGAGTTATCACAGCTAAGAAGTAGCAAAGTCAGAGTCTGCTCGCATCCTGGGTCTGACATTGCTCACTGTAGAAGGTGGACCTCCAGGCTGGCCTGCAGGAGCTGTTCAGCTCTTCCTATGCTGAGACAACCTCATAGAGCTAGTTCAACTGCACAAAATGATTCAGTTCTTAAAAAAAATACTTATTGATAGGGCCAGCAGGTGGCGTGGTGGTAAAGGTGTTGGACTCCCACATGGCTGACCGTGGTTCAAGTCCTGCATCTAGTGGCTTGCTTTCTCACTTTCCCTCTCCTTCTGACTCTCTCTAGTGAACACACATGCTATATTGGAAAATGTAAACATTGTAATAATAAATAATTTTTAAAAACTTATTAAGTGTCTTTGATAGGAATTTCTGCACTTGCAGATAACTTTTGCTATATGCTGTTATTACAGTGAGAGACTAGTAAAAGTATTCTTCCTACACCCAATTTTCTTTTTCCATATTACTTTTAAGTCAATTGCCTGCCTAATGAAGAGTAAAAATATTTTTAAAAAGCTATAAAGATATACTCCCTCCAAATTGCCTTTTAAATATAAGAAAGAAGGAACTGTCTTGGGAGCATTCAATAGGTTAACAGGGTCACATGGCAAGTGCATTTGTGTTTAAAATCTAGGTTTTGTGCTGGCCCTGTGGCTCAGTGGATAGGAGAGCGGGATCCCATGTGGCCAAACATGGTCCGAGTTCCAGCCCTGGTGGCTTGAAAAATGTGCCAGGCCCGTGTGTGCTCATGCATGTGCCCTGAATCCTGGCAGGATGGAGAAATGGAGGGGAAGGGATTATGTCATGACCGAGCCACGTTGGGGGGTGATTTCTCACTTTCTGTATCTCTGTGTCTCTCTTTCTCTGGTGAGTGCACATACACTAACCAAAAATTATTCTAGGTTTCTAAGGTCATGCTGTTGACTATGCAGAGATTAAGAAGTAAGTGGGTTGCAATGAGGGTGGCATCGGTGGTAGGCATGGTTTGAACACCTCCACAGTAAGAGTAAGAGCTGGTCCTAGCTGGCACCTCCACAGCCACACCCCACACTCACGCTGCGGGCTGCAGGCAGCCTGCAGGAGCTCCTAGGATGAGTCCACTGCTTAGGAACCCTTTTGAGGCACCACCTTCGAGGACTAAGCCTGCTCTGGGTCCCAGAGGCAGCTTCTACATGACTCCTGCCCCTCTGCCTTCTCTGGGACTGGTACATTGGTTAGAATTTCTGCAGAGCTGTGTACGTCTGGATGTGCTGTGCTGTCTTTGATCCTTTGAAGCCCAGATAACTTTTTTTTTTTAAAGAGATTTTTGTTATAGGACGTATGCAGTTGCTGGAGAGACAGAAAGTGAGAGACCACTAACCCCCCCTCCCCCGGGGTTAGCAATCCTTTCTCCGTTATCCTCTTGGGATTTTGGGCTCCTGGTGTGAGTTTCAAGCCATGGGGTCTGGGACTTGAACCGCAGTAGATTATGGGAGTCTAGCAATGTAACCATTACGCTATCGGCTGGTCCCAGAAGCCCAGACAGCTTCTGTCATTGCCTTCTGCCAGGAAACCGAGTGGGGAGGGATCTATGTACCACTGCTTATTATCACCTCCCCCGTTAGAACCTCAGCATCCTGTCCGTCTCCCCCCGCCATCACCCTCACTGCCTCATGTTCAACCTTACTGCCAGAACTACCGTTTCTCATGACAGTGAGAGACCATGCCTCACAGGCACAGATAGAGCCCACCAAGAGGTCTTCGCTGGAAAATTGTTTTAAAAAGAGTCATTAGAAGCATCTTTCTGCAGAGTAGGAGGGTCATGAAAAACCCAAAGACAAAATTGTTTACAAAAAAACTTTACTGTGGACAAGGCTTACCCAGACAGATACAAAGAATAAATCCTCTTTTGCAACCTAGACCTCATTGCTCAGTATGAGTTTATTTATTTATTTTTGTTTTGTTTTGTGTTTGTTTGTTTTTAAGAGGTTTTTGCTATAGGGTGAGTGCACTCTCCAGACAGACAGAGACATAGAGACAGAAAGTGAGAAATCACCCCCCAGGGGGGGGCGGCCATGCCGCAATCCCTTCTCCTCCATTCTGCTCTTGGGATCTTGGGCACGCACGCACACATGCCTGGTGTGAGTTTAAGCCACTGGGTCTGGGACTCGAACCTCAGTCGACTACATGGGAGTTCAGCGACATAGCCATTACTCCAACTGCTGGTCCCCAGTATGAGTCTTGACACATATCAGAAGGACTATTGTGGGGGAAAAGAGCTTTGTTTGGGTTTCCAGCTTGAGTTCATATATTTACGTTGGCATGTATGCAAGAACAGTGGGACACTTTTTTTTTTTTTTTGGGGGGTTTTTCGCTAAAGGGGGGGGGGGCTGCC